AGGAATGGGAGGTATTGGAAAAACTACCTTGGTTAAAAGAATCTATGAAGATTGAGCAATTATTTCTCATTTTGATGTCCGAGCATGAGTTACAGTATCTCAAGAGCATAACCTTAGAGAAATACTCATTGTCCTTCACGGTTCTATTGTTGCTAATGGAGTAGGCAACTCTGATCTCAAAGATGAGCTACGTAAAAAGCTGAGTACTCGGAGGTACCTAATTGTCGTAGAAGACATATGGAGCGTTGAAGCTTGGGATGACATCCATAGATGGTTTCCAAAAGAAGATTTCAATGGGAGTCGAATACTATTGACTACACGACTCAAACAGGTGACTAATTATGCTAGTTCAGGTAACAATTCTCTTGACATGCGATTCTTAAATTTCAACGAAAGTTGGAATTTATTTTACAAAAAAGTATTTGAAGAGAAAAGATTTTCCTGTGAATTTGAGCCGGTGGGTAGAGGTATTGTTACAAAATGTCAAGGATATGGATTGCCTCTAACAATTATTGTGGTTGTTGGGCTTCTCACCTCATCAAACAAGACATCCCTAAGACAGTGGGAGAACGTTGCTGAAAATTTGAACTCGTTGCTTAATACAGATCCCGAAGAAAAATGTTCAAAAAATCTTTCACTAAGTTATGAAAACTTGCCTATACACTTGAAAGTTTGTTTGTTTTTAAAAAAAAAAAAAATTATTTTAGTGTTTTCCCAGAAGATATCGAGATTTGTGTGAAAGCATTGATAAGGCTATGGGTTGCCAAAGAATTAGGTGAGACTTACTTACATTCTTCTAAAAGGTTGAAACCCCAACCCTAAAGTGAGACTTACTTACATGGTCTTGTAGACTGAGGTCTACTTCAAATTGATAAGCGGAGTTCCAACGGCAAAATGAAGTCTTGTAGGCTCCATGATCTGTTGCATAGCTTTTGCTTGAGAGAAGTTGAGAGGGAGAAACTTTTGTGTGTTATAAATGAGAACATGCTCCAAAGAATAATGAGATCAATGTCAACAGGCTCGAATCCAAAAGCTCGCCGTTGGATTTCAAGTCAAATAATAAGTGATTTGGATGTGTCAATTACTCGAGCATCCCATGAAATTCGTTCCATTCTATACTTTATAAATGAGTTTAAATGGACCTACTTATCCCCCAAACCATTTACTTGTCTTAAACTGCTAAGGGTGTTGGACATACGTCTATGTTTGATGGATGGCATACCAAGTGAAATAGTGAATCTTGTTCATTTGAGATACTTAGCTCTGAAAAATCATTCGGTATTAAAGTCACATACAATAAATTTAATTATGAATTTTCTAATTCAAATTATGAATTTTGCAAGCTGTGCTCTGAGCCTTATAATTCAATGGATTGTTTTCTTCATGGTTTATTCGTATTTATTCTCTTCATTTCTTTTCTTTCCTTTTTTTTTTTTTTTTTGAATTCTGTTTCTAGTGAACATGTGCGGCAGTTCACAAGAAGAGAGGATGCGGGATATATTAGCTCGAAAAAGAAATTGATATATGTAAAAATAAATAAAAGAGTAGTTTTGTAATAAAATAAAAAGATTTGTGTTTTGAGATTAGAATATAATGCCACAATAAGTATTGGATGTATATGTAATTTTTCTATAGAGGAACAGAGACATATTTATCTCACTTCTGATTCTTGATGATAGAGAAATGCTTGAATCTTTGTGTAAGAAGATTCGATTTTTGCAAGCCTTTTTGGAGGATTCTGACAAGAAGAACATCAACAAGGAGAGTGTTGGAGACAGAGATCAGAGGTTCGGCTTGATTTTGTGTAGTTACAATTTGTGTCGAGGATAAGGAAGAAAAAACTAACAAGTGCGGGATCCATTGCAAGTGATAGAAGTGGACCCCACGTATATTTGTATCACAAAATAGTTACGTTTTATGTTATTTTATGTTAAAAATTTCAACAAAGACCAATTTGGTATATGGTGCACCAGGGCGCGCATTGCATTGTGCGCCCTGATGCAAAACGACGTCGTTTCAGAATTTTATTTTATTTTATTTTTTAAATTTCGCTACACAGTGTTGGCGGTTAATTTTCCTTAAAAAAAAATCTCATGTTCAAAAATGTACATTATTTTATACTAGAATACACATAATTGTATACATGAATGTACATAATTGTATAAACAAATACACATAATTGTATAAACAAATACATATAACTGTATAAAAAAAAAACACATAATTGTATAAACAAATACACATAAATGTATAAACAAATACACATAATCACGTCAACTCCCTACATAACTTATCAAAACGACGTCGTTTTGGGAGGCGCGGGACGCACAGTTCTATGTGCGCCGTGGTGCAGGGTATAAGTATACCATGGATCATGGTCTACATTGCATTGTAGATCTTGGTCCAAAATGACATTTAAATTATGTGTCTAACATATTATGTGTATGCAAATTATATGTCTTTAATAAATAAATTGAAGGCACATAATATGTTAACTACAAACAAATAATATGTCGTTAACTTATTTTGTGCTTGTAATTTACGTATTTGTGTCTGTATTTAACAAATTATGTACCTTTAATTTATTTAGACTTATAATTTATTAATTGAAGATACATAATATGTTAACTGCAAACACATAATTTTTTGAACAAACAAGATGGTCTCTGCTCTATGGTATAACAATTCACCAAGTCATCAAGTTATCAACCTATGGTTGTGGTCTTGTGGAAAAGATGAGGCTACAATATAATGTCTAATTTAATTTCAATGCAACCAGGGAGCTAATGGAATTCGGGTCAACCAATTCAATTTGAAGCTGTACAATCTATGTTCGTGGCTTGCAACTTTAGGAAAAAAAAACATAATGGACTGACTGAAGTTTAATTCCTTGCTTAGTACAACGTCTCAAGCATGAGGATCTACACGAAATGGGCACAACACTAGAGCATTGATTCTAGAATTTGAATAATTCTAAGGTTTCTATTGTTGTGAATTGTTGGCACAATAGTATAGTATGGTAGTAGCTTAAAGTTTTAAAATGTCTTGTATTGGATGAACAAGTATGAATGTTAGTTCAAAGAGGTTTTTTGCCTTGCGCAGAACCATTGTCTTCTCCTTAGCTTGAATTGAGTTCATAGCTAGGAAACTCATTAAGGGGATGTTTGGTAAATGACTATTGGCTGATTTGGGTTAGTGGGTATAACTAGTTCATAGTATTAGCTGTTTGTAGAAAAGTGTTTGGTAAATGACTGTTGGCTGATTTGGGTTAGTGGGTATAACTAGTTCATAGTATTAGCTGTTTGTAGAAAAGTGTTTGGTAAATTAGTTGTTAGCTGTTAGCTGATTACATACAAATGACTTTTCAAAATGTTAATTGAAAAAGCTACTTTGAGTAGCTTTTTTAATTTTAACATTTTAGAACAAAGAATTATTACAAAAAGCTAATTAATCAAACACTTATATTGATTGTTTAGTCAAGTCAAACAACTAATAGTAGTCAAATAAGTCAAAAAAATTTCGAATAAAAAAAATCCCGAATATGAGCATGTGTGATGATAAAGAAGCTGAGACTAAAATGGAAGCTCTGGAGATGAACTTTATTGAATGATGTGAAAAAAAGGAAAAGTCAGATACAGAGATGAAGCTAGCTTATATACAAGTATACAACGGTTAAAACAGAATTGAAGGGGAAAATACAAGAATACCCTCAGCTCTTGTCTGCACCCTCTAACACCCCCATAAGCCATAAGTTGGCTCATGTAAATTTTGAACGCCCAACATAGAAACAAACAGACGAAAGGGAGAGACCGGTAGGGGCTTTCTAAAGCCACCAACAACTTGGTTATTTGAACCGTCTTTATTTTAAAATTTTATTTTTTATTTTAAAATAGTCTAAATTTAATAATAAATGTATTTTATTTTATTTTATTTTCAATTCGGAACATGAACCGGCCGATCTGGTTCGCGATTTTAATAAACTCTAAATATCAGGTTTCACTTCTAATTGTAATTAGAATATTTTGATTTGGTTTCTATAATATCTGTTCAGTTTGAATCAAATTGTGGTCATAACATTTTAGGGGGAAAACAACCACTTGAATAATTCAGGGAATTATTTTTCCTCACTATAAAGTGCAAAATACGTATATCTCTGAGAGTTTTTTTCACTATATCAGCTTATTTAATTCGGAGAAAAACATTTTTTTTAAGAATCAAATTGGTCACTAAACTTTACACATAAATATAATTGAGTGATTAATTTTTTTTAAAAAAAACAATAATAAAAAATTACAATTGACTATTTAAATAAGTCAAATTCATACAATCAAACAAAAAATTACCAATATCACGTATAAACTATTGGTATAGTAGTTAAAATTTTAAAAATTAATTTTCAAATTTTGATTTGATGCATATTAAAAACGGCATACTCGCCCCATGCTTAATGTGATTCATATTATGCGGTCTTGCTCTTCTTTTGTCAAATTATGCCGTGAAAACGTGTCCACCTTGCAAGGTGGACAGTTTCATAACGGCATCGTTTTCAACGAAAACGAAGCTGTTCTAATTAAAAAATATATATATTTTTCGCAATCGCACAGTTTAGAAATTATAAATCTACAGTATAAAAATTATGAATCTATAGTATTAGGTTTGTGAACATGTGATAGAGCTATATGTTCATAATTTTATAAATATATGTTCATAATTATAGAGTTATATGTTCATAATCTTTTATGTTCATATTCCCAATTGTTGAACTCTGTTTTCACAAATCACAGAACTATATGTTTATAATTTGATAACTATACAGTTTAAAAATTATGAACTTACAGTACATAAATTATGAATCTACAGTACATATAGATATTATGAATCTGCAGTATAGAAATTATGAATCTACTATATAGAAATTATGAATCTAATGTATTTAAATTATAAATCTACTGGTTTAGAAATTATGAATCTACAGTATATATTTTATAAATTTACAGTATAGAAATTATGAATCTATAGTACAGAAATTATGGGGATGCGTCGTTTGGAATAGCATAATCGTTCTCTTCTTCTTCTTCTTCCTCTCTACAAAAAAAAAATAATAATAAATAAATAAATAAATAAATACATCCAAGAATAAAATAATCAATTGAATCATAACGCTTAAAAAGATGCAAAATCATATCCACAATTTATATTAGAAAATATATATTACCTATGAATCAAAGTACAAAAGTTGTCCTCCACAAAAAGTGTATCATCTCCGTAGCCCAACCGCTCTTCTTGAATCTGTTTAGCAGAACTAAGAAGGGAAGATCGACATCTGATTAACAAAATTAACCGCAAGCAGGTATTTTCAGCAAAACTAGCAGGAAATTCCTCTAAATTCCTACACCTTGACAAAATTAGGCATTCAAGAATGGAGAAATGAGCACTACTCCAATCCTTGAGACCTGACCTTTCAATTTTCAAGTACTTTAACCTGCAAAATTCATTCTTCCTTGTGTTCCACTCTTGGCCACTGAAAGCATACCCTATCAATTTTAGAATCTCAAGGTTGGGCAATGTGCCAATAATGGCCATATCCTCCCGTGAAAGATAAGTATGATAAAGTGACAATTTTTTGAGGTTTTCTGGCAAAGCTGTCAAAAGCCGAAAGTAATTGTTAATTCTTTTATATGATGCTGCAATTTTCAAGTTCTCCAACTGCTGCAAATTGGCAAGACCATTAAGTGAACCAGGATGCAACTCTAAAACATGGTGGCAATCAATGTAAATCCCAAGTTTCTTCACATTTGGAATTTTTTTGAAGTCTAGACCTTGAAGAGGTAGATTCAACCAAGATAGAGCTTGTAGATTTCCTTGGACCAATGTTGGGAGATTGAGGAAACAACCATTAAGATAAACATGTCTTAATTGTGGCATATCCGAAATATTAAATTCTGGTTTCGGTTGCAGTACATCGGTGTAGAGAGTAAAAACAATCAAGGTTTGCAAATTTCGAAGCTTAAACCATTCTAAATCTGGAAAGAACTCATCAGTTCTTAAGGCTAAATATCTCAAATTAACAAGATTCACTATTTCACTTGGTAAGTGATGCTCACGAATTAATCTTGAAGATATGTCCAACAGCCTTAGCACCTCAAAACAAGGAAATGGGTTGGAGGAAATATTATCCCATCCAAAATATAGAATGGAACGAAACTCCAGGGGTGTGTCAGTCTCATCATACCTTTCTCTAGTAATTTCCAAATCCAAATATATTAACTGACTGCTAATCCAACGGCAAGCTTTTAGAACCGAGCATGTTGACATGTTTCTCTTTATTCTCATGAGAATGCGTTTAAGAGCATGCTGTTTCTCAAGTCTACCCATCTCAACACTTTTCTCATTTACAACACACAAAAGCTTCTCCCTTTGAGCTTCTCTCAAGCAAAAGTTATGCAACACATCATGAACCCTACAATACTTCATTTTATCGCCAAAACTCCACTTAATAATTTGAACTAGACCTCTGTCTACAAGATTCTGTAAGTAAGCCTCACCAACTTCTTCCATGGTTTCATTCAACTCTAGCTTTAAGAATCCCTCTGCAACCCATAGCCTAATCAAATTTTTCACACGAATTTCACTATCTTCCGGGAAAACACCAAAATATAAAAAACAAACTTTCAAATGCGGAGGTAAGTGGTTGTAACTTAACGAAAGTATTTTTGAACATTTTTCTTCTGGATCTATGTTAAGCAACGAATTCAGATTTTCAGCAATATTCCTCCACTGGTTTACTGATGGCTGGTTGAACGAAGTTAATAGCCCACCAACCACAATAATTGTTAGAGGTAATCCTTGACATTTTTCAACAATACCTCTACCAATTGTCTTAAATTTAAGGGAGACTTTTTTTTCCTCAAATACTTTCTTGTAAAATAAATTCCAACTTTCATTGAAATTTAAGAAGCGCATGTAATGAGGATTGTTACCTGAACTAGCATAGTCAGCCACATGTTTGAGCCGTGTAGTTATCAATATTCGACTCCCATTGAAACTTTCAGGAAAACACCTATGAAGGTCATCCCATGCCTGGGTACCCCATATATCATCTATAACAATTAGGTATCTTCGATCTATCAACCTTTGACGCAGTTGATTTTGTAGATCAGAGATATCTCCTCCATTGGTGTCAAGAAGGCTAAGGAGAATTTCTCTAAGGTTATGTTCTTGAGATACAGTAGCCCATGCTCGAACTTGAAAATGAAAAATAACTGAGGCATCTTTATAGACTCTTCTAACCAAAGTTGTCTTTCCAATCCCTCCCATTCCCACAATTGAGATGACTTCCAGTTTTTCTGAATGTGAAATGAGCTTGTGCATTATGGTGTCAAACTCATCGTCACATCCTACCATCACATCCTTGGGCTCAGAATAACGTTGGGAGAAAGTTCCAGCTTTGATATTCTCTATTCTTTTTCCACTTTTGGGCTCAGCAGAATGGTTGTTATTGCTCTTAATCTGAATAATCCTCTGTTCAATTGATTCAATCGTTCCCTTTACTTGTTCCAAGGTGTGATAAAGACTCTGAGGAGGCTTAAGTGGGTGCTCTACCTGGTTGCAGCACAGATAAAGTTGATATAATTGGGATTCAATCTTGGCTTCCGCATCTTGAGCCACACATCTGATCTCTGACTCCAAAACACTCCTTGCCTTGTTCTCAGAACCCTCTAAAAAGGCTTGCAAATATCGAATCTTCTCACACAGAGATTTGATGGTTTCTGTATCGTCAAAAATCAAACACGGAAGGGGTTGAAGAAAATGGAAGTGTATTGTATTTAGTAGAGAAGTGATATGAAGGAAAGCAGCCATAGAAGATAAAGTTAAGTGGAGAAAAATGGTTTCAGAATGAAACTCGGAATCACAAAGAGATGAAGCAATGGAATGGATCTGATTATCTTTCATCATCAATAGCATTCTTTAAGCCATCATGTAAGTTAACTCTACCGACAGCCTGGACACGTTCGACTTGAACTATGATAAAATATGCTACAGGCCTACAGCTGACCTGGCCTGGAATTCACCAATATATAATATGGTGATATTATGATATTATCAAAGTACTGACCTGGCCTGGATTAGTCTTGTGGGTGACATTATTATTATTATTTTTTGAAAGGATGGTGACATTATTTGATTTGACTAATTTTTATTACTATACTATATAATAAGTAGTATGGAGGTAGGAAATTGCATTGCTATTTTCCCTCATAAATTTTGCCTAATATTTTCTCTCATTTATATTTATTACTAGTATTTTTTTATGCGCGATGCGCAAAAAATAGGTGCCCAATATTAATAAATTATATTAAAATTTTAAATTTATTTAGATTTTAGATATTTAAATTATTCTAAATAATAATAATAATGTAAAACATTTTTATAAATTTGATATTTATACTTTAGCTAATAATTAACATATAACTCAAATATATAATGTGCATATATTATTATTAATGAAGAAGATAAGAAAATATATGGTGGATGCATGTGCATAGTAACAATAGTGGAAAAAATAACGGAAGTTATAACGGTAGGGGTATGTTTGTCCAAAATATTTTAAAGTACAACTCTTATAGCATAATGTATATAAAAAAAAAAAAAAAAAACTTAATGAAAACAATGGACATAAATGAGGGATATAACTTTCATTCACACTTATTATGTTTTTAGATATTGGGTGTTATGAACTGGTTAATCAATTTACTTTTAAGTTTTAATTAAATAATAAACAACTATTGGGATACTATCCCACCTGACGCTATTTCAGCTTATCTATGAATACAACCCATTGGTTGACCTTCAAAAAAAATAAACAACTCAATCAAATAGTGTCATGTCAAGATAGGATTAAAAGAAATAAGAAAGGAAAATTTTAGGTGAGATGTGTAACATTACTCATGAAATCCTCTATCCTCTATTATAATAAAGCCAAACATTTTTAGTAAATAAAAAAATTATGTTTTCTCACCCATGAGAAACGACGGTGTTCTGCGTTTGAAATGTTGTTCCATTTTTGGGCACCGATCAAATTGCTTTAAAGTTGTTGTCCACTTTCCATTGAATAATATATTGCTCCATTTTTCCACCCAAAAATTTGGCTTCAAAGATATGGAATATTTACTCCATTGACTGACAGTTGTTGTTCACTTTCCAATAGTACTTTATTACTTACGGTAGAAGCAAGTATGGTGTTCAAGAAGTACATCATTTTGAAACTAAATTTTGGTGGGAAACTACCTATAAATAGTGCATATTAATTGCATAGATGGTGAAACCCCACATTCATTTGCATTGTAGTTGCTCTATCTCATGAAGTTGTTAAAGAGATAGAGAATAATGAAGAAACTCACACGGAGAATACATATAGGATCAAAGAGGAGACAAGCTGAGAATGACAAAGGTAAAGCTCTTTGAGAACAAGACTGGAGACTATGAATCCTATATATCAATTATATATATTGCAAAAACTTCAGGCACTACATTTTCAACGGGCAGTAGAATGAAAGAAATTCTCAAAAGCAATTTTTAAAGAAATTTTTAATTGCACTACATTGCAAAAACTTCAAGCACTACATTTTCAAAAGCACTATCTTACCCACAGGAGATCACTCTTGGTTTTTGTACACAGATTAGTCTTTAAAAAAGTGAGGTAATTACGATAAAAATTACATAAAGAATTTAAAAAATATATCGTGTGGAATTAATTAAACCTAAACTTATCTTTTTCGGAAAATACTGTAGTACACGATATTTTTAACTATCTTGCATTTGCCTCAAGAGTAATCTCTTTTTCATCCTATCTTTGCTTCAATAAGACTTAGCAAGTATTCATATTTTAAACCTGCAAAACAGTGTTTTAGGGTTCAATTGTTAGGTGAAATCTAGAAATTAGCTTTACTACACAATTCTTGCTAGAAATTTAACCAAATTTGTAGCAAATCGGAGATGAATGCAGCAAATCCAACAAATATACTAACAAATACTGAGAAAGATACACCTCAGTATGAAATTCTTATATAAAATAGTAATGCATGTGATTTCGAACTAACTATTTAGGAAGATCTATTCTTGAATCGGATCGGACTTAGGCAGATTGTTGAATCTACATTTGCATTAAACAGTTTGGGTTTCGTAAATATTAAAATAAGCCAATTTGTATGATAAGATATCAATTTCTTGAAAGATATAACATGCAAGTTACCTTTTATGCAAGATTCAACCTAGAATTTGTATGATAGGATATAAATTTCTTGAAAGATATAACATGCAAGTTACCTTTTATGCAAGATTCAACCTAGAAATTGAAGGGAATAGCTATGATCTACACATCAACTAACCCCTACGTTCTTGCAGTTATTATGGAAGGAGATACCCACATATACTATCTACGCCTATGCCTCCGACATAGAGGAGCAACCGGATACCAGTGAACCACAAAGTCATTGATTTATTGGTAATATTATTACTATACCCAGTTGTAATTTTTGAAATTTAAAGTAATAATAATATTATCATTAGTAATTAGTAATAATATTATTAGTAAGAGTATTGTGGTCCAAATGTGTTCATAATGTTACTAGTATTAATGTGTTAATAAAATATTAGTATTATTATTAATGTGTAAATGTTCAATACCATGCTATGTGGAGTTCTATTTTTTGCTGATATATACTATTATTGATTTTTTAGAAAATCAAAGTTTATCAAGTGCTAAGATAAAAAAAAAAAAAAAAAAAAAAAAAAAAAGACAGTATTAGGGGGTATTTTGGTTGATAGTACATCAAAAAATATGTATACGGTGTATTCTAAGCATCACTATCTACACCCCTTAGTGTAATTTCTTTTGGTGAGACATTAAATTGTATAATTTACTAAATTCTTATTTACAAATATTATTGTTGTTATAAATGATCATGAACCTTTTTATGTTTTATAAACTAATTTGTATTTGACTATGAAACATCGTTAAATTATTATTTTTGTTACATTTGCAATTTTTAAATATATTTTGTTGGTGTGAAAAAATTACTTTGGTGTTTGTATAGTTTCCATATATTAGTTTTTATGCAAAGTAATGAAAGATGTGAATACTAAAAAAAAAAAAACGAATTAATATAGATTGTTAATATATGCCGCTGGCCTCATACACGAGAAAATGTTCAAAGATTTGCCTGTATATATTTATTTGAGCTTGCATAATACTTATATATTTTTTCATTTTTTAGTAAGCAATGCGGATAACCAATTGTTTTCAAAACAAAAAATGCAGATTACCATTTTAAAGAAATTAAGAAATTTTAATAATGATTGGGTGAATGGATTTAACTCAACGTCACAGTGTCGCGATCTAAATTCTGAATTCGATAAAGTGAGTGATTTTCAAGCAACTACATCAAACATGCTCAATTGTAATTATCAATAATATAGGTCAAAGAAGAAGTAAAAATAATTATTATTATATTAGTAGCACATTTAATCCAAAAATTTCTTCCTTAGGTGTTGATAATGGTATTTGTAATTCAATGCGGATGTATCTATAAAACAATGGTGAAGATCACGTGTCATCCCTTAGCACGTTCAATTGTATGATTAAAGAAATTGGGGAAGTCTGTGGCCAGCAAGAAACACAACAAATGTTAATGATGGTTAGTTTACATTTTTTAAAAATAATTTTTAATGAAATTATTGTAGCTAAAATTTTAACAAACTATTTTAAGTTTCAGTTCAATACATAAATTTTGGAGATCCAAATGATACATGTGAGCACTGCAGCTGTTTTTATTGGTACAAGGAAAGAACCAACAAGATTAAAACGAATAATGTATAACATTCTATTTTATAAGTCATCATATTATATACAAAATTTAGTTCATTCCAATATTTAGTGAAATCATGTAATTAGTTAAGGTACTTAAATGTCTTTTGTCTTAAACAATTACAATATAATTGTCTAATGATTTATTTAGTATAGTATTAAAACAATAGTTATAATACGTAATCGTGCATTGCACGGAACAAGATCAATGAAAATTATAAACCTGAGTCCAAAATCGTGAAACCACGTTTCCAATTTAAGGTCTTGTTAACAGAATAAATAATCAAATAAAAAACATAGCATAAAAAAAAGATATATAATCCAAGACAAAAATTACAAAGAGAAAAATAAATAAATAAATTAACATAAAAATTGAATCTTTAGGGATGGTAATATCCGGTTTACCAAATTCCAAACCTAAACCCAATTACTTGGGAGAGAAGTAAAATTAACGGTCTTTTTTTGTTTTTTTTTTTTTGAAATAAGAATTAAGTGTTAGGGAAGCAGGGGCTCTCAGTTTCCATAATCTCACTCGACTAGCTTTCCAAAATTGCTCTCTTCAATCATTATCGTCACTCTCTCTGAGTTTTGGGTTTCATTCGCAGCAATGACGACGGAGAAGCTACTCATCACTGAATCGAAGAAGCTACTCATCACTGCATCGAAGAAGCTCCTCATCACTGAATCAAAGAAGCGTGGTTATGATGATGACTTCAATGTAGAAGATGATGATGCCGGAAAAGAAATTAAGAGGCGCCGGAGAATAGAGTACTGGGGTATTAGGGAAGACTGCGAGAGGGCACTGCCGAAGATGATTCGCAGAGGTGGGTACTGGAATTGCGAAAACAAACCTAAGATTCATCAAGCTTGTCTGCGAAATCTGAGAGGCGGAAGGGATTGTCAAAAGAAAACGCCGCCATTGCCCAAGGAAAAGGAAAATTGTAGGTCCACGACTGCCGCCATTGATCATGCTTGCACTACTACTACTACTTCACTTACTGTTGATGTTCATCAGCTTTCTCCAACAAAGGCTTTACGTGCTGCCCAGATGAAGAAACGGTATGCACATCTCATTGTCAAAGCACATCAAGCGCTCATGCCTCAGGGAGATATTGTTCACCATCTGAAGCAACAACAAGAAACAGAGAGGTTAGAGATGGCAGAGAAAGCCAGGATTGAAGAAGAAATTAAAGCTGCCCAAACACTTCTACGGATGAGGGCAGAATTCGACCTCAAAATCAAGAGAGAAGCTGCCAGAATTGCATTGGATAAGATGGTAAAAACTGTTGAATTCAATGATGCTTTGCAGATAATGAGAGATTTTGAGGGTTTGTTGAATGCAACTGATTCTGATTGTTAAAAACTAGCTAATTTTTTGGTGGTATATGTATAGATGTGATTTTGTGTTTTGATCTCCAATTTTAATGGCTATACAAAATTTGACCTGAAATTTTTTATCTTGTTTGCAGTTGTGGTTGCTATTGATATGATTTTGATGTGCATCTCTTCACTGGTAAAAGCAGAAGATATTGATGTTTTTTATGCCTTTTCATATTGTGCTTCTTACTGCTCAATCTATATTTCCTATACATGTACCATTGTTTTTGCCAGAAGAAGATTAATTCTGCTACGCTATATAGTATATACATAGTAGTATGAAGAGCAATAATCTCTTTAATTAGCTAATTGGAAATTTAATTTCCTTTCGTGCCAATGCATTTTTTACTTTGTTATCCTGGTATACATCAAGATCAACTCGCATGTGGCAGACACTCTATACATAGTAGATCAGATCATTCACAAGATTTTGTACGGAAAGATGTAAAAGAGTGGTTGAACTAACTGTCTTCGAAATGATATTGAATTGGCTTTGATGGGTGGCCCGGCCCCTTGATTTTGTGAGGTGAAGGTGTAGATTTGTTGAGATTTTAGAAGTTGGGGATTTTTTTTCCCATCTTTACAGAGTATATATCAAATTCCAGTATTAAGTTTTTAGAAGGAGAGGTCAATGAAATGAAGATTCTTAGTTTGTGATTTGAGAGTTTTGATTGATATGTTGATCCTCATTAGACTTTTAGGTTGTACGTTTAACAAAGGTTTTATTTCTTTATGTATGTAATCGAGTCGAGTCCAACTCAAATAGTTAAATCTTGAAGTTAGATTTGTTTTCAAAAATGAAAATTTGAAGTAAATTAAGTTGGTTCTAATTTTTGAGTTTGAGCTAAATTAACTCAACTCAATCCAGATAACAATGAAGAGGAAATTTTTTTTATCTTGTTTGCAATTCTAGCTGCTGGATATGGCTCCATACCAGCTCCTTGGGCAAGTTCTGTTGATTTTAGCTTTTACAGGTAATAATTTCCACCAAGCTGTAGTTTTGCTTTGTAAAATTGGGTTCTGAGCACAAGGTTGTACCTTCAGCAAATTTTGCTTTGTAAAATTGGGTTCGTCTTTGTTTTTAAAATTTAAACATAAGAATATGAAACTACATGGGGCAATTAAGGTGGAATAGAGGAAGTATTATTTAATTGTAATCAGACTTCTTGCTATCAATAAAATGAATCTCCCATGGCATTGTTTATGCAGTAAAGTGCTTTCTTTCTTGCAGATTCTTTGATTTTTCAGAACCGGTAGCAAAGAGAGCATTTAGAGTTCTTAAGGTCTCTTCGGCTCCTTGTCCAATTCAATCATCAATTTTAAAGAAAATTCTTAACAAATAGATTTTTATTTGTGGTATTACAGTCCTTCTCATAAAGGTTCAGATTTCATATATTGTCAGGAAACTCACAATGTAATGTCTGTGTCAATTCACCCTTCTGGAGATTGTCTTCTGGTAGGCAAGTAAAGTTCTCTTGGAATTAAATTATGAACAATTCTTAGGGCTAGTGATGCTGCTCCCATAATTTTCAAGCTGACCTCTCTCTATCTTTGAAATCAAAATACCCATCACTTACTCTTGGAAAATCACATATTCTTTAATCTTCGATTCGATCTGTTAAAATACCGTGTGTTACACTTGATGTTTGCTTTCTTAGGAAATATGGTATGTTGTACTTGACCTTTTCTTTTAACTCTTTGCTCTAGACGACTAAGAAATTTTATAAGATGCATTGAAAAATGGGTCTTGTGTGCTTAAAGTTTTAATAAATAGAAGAAACTCAAAGTGAACTGTGACTTTTACTGATGCTAGGAACTTTAAAGATCATCAAGCTGAATAACTGGCCTTTAGATGCCTTGTGCAGAAAAAGTAAATTAGAGTAAAAATATACTGTTTTCTTGTCATGTTTTAGATGTGGTGTTAGTCGGACTAAAATTGTTCCAAGCTAATTTACAGTGGCTTAAGGATTCTGTAGTTTTTCCCCTCCCTCATAGTTAAGTACAGAATACTGAGTCTTAGACTCACTCTTAATTGCTAAATTGCTGCATTATATTACTGATTTTTCTTAAATTGGCATCTGACCAGGGTACTTACAGGAACTGTTCACTCCATCCCTCATTTATATGACATCAATACTTCTCAAAGTTATCTGCCATTACATTTCCAAGACAGTATTGTTAATGGAGCCATAAATCAGGTAGATCGAGTCTGCATTTTGATAGGCTTTACATCATAAAAGTTGATTACTTGATGAGTTTCTCTGTTTATCAGGTTAGATATTCACGAAGCGGTGGCATGTTTGTAACAGCATCCAAAGATGGTGCTATTCGGTTGTGGGATGGCGTAAATGGCAATTGTGTCCGATCCATAGGTGGTGCACATGGAACAGTGGAAGCCACAAGTGCAAACTTTACAAAGGATCAAAGGTGAAAGATAAAAACCGAATTTCATCTCAAGCGCTAGTGATTCTTGAATACATTTAAGTAGGAACATTCTCTTAACTACATCCTGCACTAGTAATAGTTCCTCTTTTATTGAGTAATGTATTCCTGAGTGCACTGCAACAGTATATCATATTGTGATGTTTGGTACACTACAGAGGTTACCGTTTTATACATGTTATTGGGTAGAACACAGATTAAGGTTGTAAGTTTTTTAGGTATGTCCTCTCATGTGGAAAAGACTCTTCTGTGAAGTATTGGGAAGTTGGCACAGGAAGATTGGTGAAACAGTATCTTGGAGCTGTACATACAAAGTTGCAGTTCTTTTGTATGAATTGAATCCCTTAATAGACATAAGCTTCTCCCCTTTTGCATGCATTCTAGTAAAACTTTTTGGTGGCTTGAATGTGAGAATTTTTCAAACGTACTAAGAGATAGAGCTGCAGTTCCTATTGCTCAAAACTCAAAACTTGTGTTGCTACTCGACTTAGATTGTTTGTTGTTGATGTAATTGATTGTGTTACTCCATAAGTCTTTCCGTATTGAGTAACTTTTAATTTGCTCCTATAGCATTCCTTGTTACTTGATGTCAATTTTTAAGTCATTTTTAAACTCATACAATGATGGGTAATGTTGATTGTTTATGACTCATGTAAATTTACAAAGATAATTTTGAGGGGTTTTAATTTCTAATCCTATTTTACACTGCACTATTAAAATCTATTATTGCACTTATTCCTAACATAAGCATTAAAGGATGAAAGTAGTAAGCTATGACTTCATGCAATTAGGGATTAAGTTTAGCAATTTTAGTAGTCAAGGACTAAAGTGGTGAAATCTTAATAGTCGAGGGACCATTTTAAGTAAAATTGCATAGTTATAGACTAAATTGAGTAATTTTAATAGTCGATGATTAAATTGGTAAAATTTTAATAGTCGAGGGATCAAATTGGGTATTAAGTCTTATTACATTTATTCCTCATTAAAGGATGAAGGTATTAAGCTATGACTTCATGCAACAAATAGTAAGAGGCTAAGGCAGGAAGCCATAAATCCAAAATGCTTACAAAGTATGTAGACAGTAAGGCAAAGGCAACAAGGCCAAAAAAAAAAAAAAAAAAAAAAAAAAAAATCATTTCAATTCAACTACAGTTTTATTTGATTATATACACACAATACGTGAGACATGTTATTCAGTTTCATTTCAACACAACTAAACTATCACTTTTTTTGAATGTTAAACTAAACTAAACTATCATTTTAATTCAATTATAGTTTCATTTGATAATATAAATATAATATGCGAGACAAGTTATTCAATTTCATTTTAAATACATTGTAGTTTCATTTTGTTCTAAACACACCAAAAATACAAAATTTGTTAAAATTTAACTACTGTCATTTTTTTACTTAAAGAAATGGCGTTGTCTTCAGCGTATGGACCAAGGACCACCGTATAGCAACCGTATAAATGATATCCTAATGCCATTTTTGGGCCTTGGCACATGCCGCACATCAACGGATCGTTATGTTGTGCATCCGTAGGCACCATGCATGGTGCATACGGATGCACAACATAATTTGCCATAAATCAAGATCTTTTCTCAAATTGGCAAGATGCATTAAAACTTAAAAGGCATGAAAACTTTTTTTTTTTTTAAGGAAGAAACTTGTAATGAAAAACTACTATTTTTTATCCATGCGATGCACGGAATTGATTTGTTATAATATACTAAGAATATTTGAATCGATATATAATTATATAAACTATAACATCAAATATTATATTCATTGACGAAAGGCTATATATATAATTATAGAAATAAATAAGCCATCTTAAAAAACATACATACCGAGAATCATCAATGACGAAATCAATCAACCTTTGAAGATTTTGATTGGCTTGGATAACTTTTGGCTCAGTAGTGAAAATTACATGGCTAATCAAATATGTTAAAATCAGCCAAACCATTTTAAGTTGGCAGTTATGAATGAATTATTATAATATCAAAAAGAAATGCAGATAACACCCAATATAGAACGAAATTGTAATAAAAAGTTACCAATTAGATGATTGCTATCCACACCTCCGGGAGCCTTCAACGACTCAAAATCCTTGAGTTTAAACATGTGTTTGGGAAAATCGGATCCATCTTGATCTGTAACGCTAATCACAATGTCATTATATTGTTCGCTTCCATAATGTACTTGTGCTTGCACGACTTAAACCTCATGCGAGAGGTTTGCACAATGAAATTGTGAATATCGTAGAGTTTCCCTTCCTTCAAGAGTTTGTTGAATTTTTCGAGAGGATTTGTAAATGGATGCAAATTCCTCGAGGGAAGCACCCATAAATATTAATAAGTCTACTATACTAATAAGTGCCCAAGAGAGTTAGACCTATAATGGGTAGAAAAAATGGCGGTCAAATTTTTTAATCAAATGAATGGCTCAGATTGATCAGATTTTAATTTTTCCTTTAAGATCTCCTAATTTATCCTTAATGAATATAATTATCCGTTAACTTTTTTGTTAATTTCTGTTAGTTCACCGTTAATTTACTCATTAATTTCAATAAGGTCTTAGGTTCGAACCTCATCCCAATCAAAGTTAGCATAATTAGTACTCTATTTTACTCTTAGTAAATTAAATAATAATTTAGTAGCTACAACAAAAAATAATACATATGCATTTCTTTAATTTAGAATTATGTGTCTACAATGTCTTTATTTCAAAAAAAATATTCATTATCAATAAATTAAATAAAAGAAATAATTTTCATTAGTTATATTGTCTTTATTTTTCTCTAATATAACAATTCTTTACATTAAAATTCATCAATTGATTATATTCGCTACATTGTCCCTACAATGTCTTTATTATACAAAAAAAAATAAAAAATATTCATTATCAATAAATTAATTAAAAGAAATAATTTTATTAGTTATATTGTCTTTATATTTCTCCAATGTAAAAATTCTTTACATTCAAATTCATCAATTGATTATATTCAGTACATTGCCTATTATCTTTTTTTGTGCACTATTTTTTAATTAAATATCAAAATTATTGATGGAATTAATTAAACCGGGGGTCCAGATTAATTAACCTGAATGTATGAACAAATGTAATAAGTGTATGATGAAAACGATAATTGGGGTATAAATATCGGTACGAATATAGTCACGGAGACAGATACTGTATTAATTGAATATGTAACACTATTACAAAGGCTCTGGACGTGTAATAACAAGACACTAAGAAGTAAAGACCCAAGATAGAACATGATTTGTAATGCCGAGACAATGCAATATTTATACCGGGCATGAGTCGACAAACTCCCCTAAAGTCATGGTAGACCACAAGACTAAGTCGAAGCCCACCTAGTGGGCCCGCAAGACCAAGTCAAGGCTCATCATTCTGAGCCTCGGCCGCTCGGGCTATCTTCGTTAAGCTATGCACTCCTAGACCCGGGTCCTTATTATTGGGCCATATATTTTCAATATATCCATCAGTTATAATACAAAATAATGCTATATATTTATTTACCAAATATTTTATTAATAACATGAAAAATTAAAAAATTATAATTAATAAAGTCAATCATATTAACTACTTGAGGGATTTGTTGACAAAGAGAGTATTCAAATCACACAATAAATTGAAGTGAGAACTACCTCACAATGTCCTTGTTTGACAATCAGAAGTTAGCGGTTAGCGTTAACAGATTATATTAGCGAATTTGACCAGTGAATTATATTAACGGTTGGTAAAAAGATGAAAAAATTAGTTGTTTAGATTAACATGAGAAATGAGCTAAGGGTATACATATTTTTTAATAATAATAATAATAATAATAATAATAATAATAATAATAATAATAATAATAATAATAATAATAGCAATAACCTTTCATACCCTGTAAATTAATGCATGCATGCAATAGGAATAGAAAACTAATACCAACCCTCTACTATCTAGTCAGGCCAGGACACAAAAGCCTTAAAAATGCAGAATTTTGTTTTTGTGGGCAAAAGAACTAATACCACAATGTTTCCAGAACCCAATGGGATTTCCCCTTTATAGACAATTGCTGAAGCACCTCTGCCTATTTCTTCCCTAAACCCATTTGTGGCTTTTGCAAGCTCATTATAGGAGAAACTTAACAATGCAGATTTGATTGCAATAATTTCGTAGAGATCTTGAGATGAACCTTTCTCGGTCCCGAGGGGTTCATCACAAGTCTGAACAAAATTTGTTCCACAGCTCCCATACTCATCACTTGGATCTAGAAGTGAATAGCCTTGAGGGCACTTACAAGATGGTCTCTTGGTATTATCATCATCAAGTGAGCACACGTTGTTATACCCACAAGCTCCACTGCCATATTTTCCATTAATTGCAGTGCAGATGTTTTCGGGTTGAGACCAAGTAGAGCTCCAGGTTTGGTTAATGGTAGAAATCTTTGGAATACCTTTTGAAAAGTACTAGCTAAAAATCCCTCCGTCTTATTTTTATGTGTTTAGTTCCGATATCAAGATTTCATTTGGAAATACAACAGAGAACAAATTAAACATGAGCACCATTTATAGCAACACGTACAGTTCTTGACTTTTCGTTGTAAATGCATGGGGCCATACCTTTTGAAAAGTACCACAATTTGATAATTAGATTTGTGTACGTGTAAATGCATGCATGGGCCACACCTTTTGAAAAGTACTAGCTATGAATTAAGACCGCAAATTATGCCGTGCAACCGGCCGGTGCACACAATTGTAAAAATGGCGTCGTTTTGATTAAAAACGATGCGTTCGTCTTTAAAAAAAATCAGTTTTGATTGTTGTTGATGACATTATGTTGTGCATAATTTGAATTATATATCCAGAATTAATGAACTATACATCAAGAATGAATAAACTATATATCCAGAATGAATGAAATATATATCCAGAATGAATGAATGAACTATATATCCAGAATGAATGAACTATATAGTTCAAATTATGCACAACATAACGCCGTTTACGGCAATCGAAACTGAATTTTTTTTTTAAAAGTCAGACGTCAAAACGACGTCGTTTTTGCAACCGTGTGGACCATGCATGGTGCACATAGTTACACAACATAACGCTCCAATTAAGACCATCTTTATTTCTATAACTAGTTTTTCAGGCATGAGATAATATCCATCATTATTTTTAAATAAGTATTTCAAAATATATCAATGTAAGATTATATAAGAAATATTCATGTATATCTAATT